CAAGAACAGCAGCACAAGAAAAAAGGGGGAACCAAGTGTAAAAATCCATCTGTGGGTTAAAAGCAGCAACCCTAGAAGCACCATTCCTTACCTTTGTGCTGAAGCAGCTGCTTACCAATGCACAATGTACCCGGTGGTCACTTTGGTTGTGAAACAAAGGGAAAGCTAGCACAACCTGAATGGGGAATTTACTCCTTCAAGTCATTCTCCCTCTTCAGCTTTCATAAATTTAGGCACGGAGACCCAGCTCGCTGCCCAAATGCCCTCCCTCTGCAGCCAGAGAGGGGGACTTTGGGGGATAGGCAGGCTGAGGAGGATAGGGGCTCACATTGCAGCCCCCGGCATCATCTCCCTCCCTCCTGGCCTCCCCAGCACGTGGGGTTCAGTCCAGCACCGGCAGGGCACCCATCTCCGGTACCAAAACTGCCCAGAAAGATCAGCTCCAGCCCTAGGGATGGGACTTATGCTGAGTACTTTATGCGCTTAAATTCCCTCCAAGTAAAGGAAAAAGACTGAAGGCTCCAGAGGACTGCCCTGGCTGAAGTCAGTCCAAAATTCAAAGCCTAATTCTGGTGGTTGGAGCTGCCCTCTGGAGCCAGCGGTGTCTGGAGACATGGAGCCTCATTTATGTGTGAGCAGCACCATAAGCTCTCAGATGCACAGACGTGTACAATAACAACAGTAGTAATTGCAGCGCTTTGTTCTTAACAAAGCTTTCCATTAGTGATCTCAGCGAGGTGGTTATTAATCTCCTTTTGCCTGTGGGGGAAACTGAGGCACACAGAGATTTGCAGCTTGCTCAAGGCTAACAAGCAGGGGAGCTGAGCTGAACTGAAAACAACACTCCCCTCAAATTACCGAGCTATTTTTAACTGGGAAATTATGGAGGAGTTTAAAAATAGCATTTGGGAATGTTTTCTTGAAACATGCAAAAGCTGAAAAGGCAACACACTGAGGTACCCAGGTACTCGTGGGCCTAAAGAGCCATGGACTCAGCTCTTGGTCTTCTTTAGGAATAAAGGCATTGCTCTGTTTTATGCCCATCCCAGTACTCTGAATTAAATTATTGTTTTTATATAGTAAAAATGACTACTGAGATATTTTAAAAGAATAAAAAAAAACAAGAACACCCTTCATTTACACCTCGCACAAATTTAAGAGAGAACTGACTTCAAGATTAAGCAAAACATAGCATGGACTTTAATAACCACATAAACAATCGCTCAGATAATCACTACGCTAATCAATGCAAACAAATTTTGGGCGCCAAAAACTAAGATCTAGAGGATTGCATCCTCAGTAACTTGCTGAAATAGTTTTATAGTAGATAAATCAGTAACTTCCACCTAAACAGGATGGTTTCATGTATGACTACAGGTTGAAGCAACCACTTTTTTTGTTGTAGATAAACAATACAAACCTGCTATTATTTAAGACATGATCCAGAGATACATCTAAACTAGGCTCGGTTCAGATGGCATAAATGATCTGAACTCTAAAACGTTCCCAAAGGAGGGTGGGGGGCAGGAGACCTTTGCTTTTTTATGTTGTTTAGCAACATGAAACACTTCATTACTATTTATGTTTATTTATTTATTCCATGTTACAGTAGTTACATTTCAAAATTTACAGGGTTAGGCAAAGAATACATGATAAATACAATAAAAAACAATAGTGGTGTAACAACATTCTGCCTAAAATCATAAAGTGAACAAAAAAAAAATTGATGAATCCATTTTCCTCACAGTTTCATTCATTTCACACAGTACAGCTTTTTTTTTTTTTAAATATATACATAATGATAATAAAATAATAGAAACTAACATAATCAAATGAGCATCTGTTCTCAGACTGGATCATTTATAATATATCACACCAGAAGAGATCTTAAAAATTCAAGTCTTGCTGATCATCATTCATTCTTTCAGGCTTTTTGATGGTCTGATGGAAAATATCTTAGATTTGTTTTACCAAATTATACAGAGAGACACAATAGTTATTTTCAATGTGCGTTAAGCAAAGGCACATGAAGCATGGTTGTGCACTGAGAACAGGAGGAAATGCACAATGTCTGTTGCACAACAGGACTCACTGTCGCTGGTGCTACTTAATGACTGCTTAATTGTGGAAGCAGACACATTAGCCAGATCTCTTCCCCAGTTTTACTTGGGAAAGGTGAATCAGGAGGGAACTGAAAGCATCACACAGAGCTATGACCAAAGTCTCCTGTGGAGGCACAACTTAGATTAGCGAAAGGCAGACAAAGGAGGGCAGGCTCACCCCACCAGAAGCATCATGTTTTTGTGAGCCCGAGCTGCATCCTCCCACGACGAGCTGCTACAGGCTTGATGAGACGATGCGAAACTCCTGATGGTCCGGACTAACCCTTGCTCCATCAGTTTGAGATTTAAGAGTGCTCAAAATTGGTTTTAATTTAATCTTGTCCTCCATGTGCCTTCGCTTTGCTGATCCAGCACCATGAGATTAATAAAATTTGTGAGAAAAAACGTTTTCTAGCGGCATGTTTTGCAAAGTACTGTCCATCTTCATCAATCAGCCTGAGTATTTAGCTTCTACAGTACTAATTGCACAGCGCGTTTTTTCTAATGCTTCCAAACACAGCTGCAGTGGTCACAGTGCAGACCTTGATCGTTTTAAAAAACAAACATCAGCTCAGGGAGCCCCATTTACACACTTTTATCAGGCAAAGAGTCCCCTTAATGTAGTCTCTGACCAAAACCTGCAGAAAGTTCATTTTAATTAAGTGAAATGCCAGCTCCATTGAAATTAGTAGAGGTTTTCTACTGGTTTTAATAGGGCTAGGATTTAATTTCTAATGCCCTTGAGATAGCACTTAAAGACATTTATAGTATGTGATACAGAAAGAAAAAATATATATTAACAAGAAAATGCAGTGATAATATAAATATGTTTTGATTGGCAAAATAACTGCCCAACCTAATCCCAGCCCATTTAAGTTAAGATTGGTCCTCCAGTCTTAACTTTAGCAGCTCTGACAAAATAACCAAACAATCCTGCACGAACACTAAAAAGACACCGTGAACTTAAAAATAAATAAATAATAAACAGATGCATATTTCTACCTGAATTATTTTGTTCTAATGTTGTTAGAAATAACAAAAATCAGTATACCTGAAAGGTCTAGGATTTTATTTATATATTTTTTGGCCTTTTTTTTCCCATTTAGTTACTTTTCCAATAGACTGTTTTAAGGCTCACTGCCTTGACTTGAATTTGTTTTATGCTGTGTGCTACTCTATTTTTTTCCCCCTAAATAAACCCTGAAAATTCACTTACTTTGTTAGAAGCATGTGAAGTAAAGACCCTGACTCTCAGCTAAAACAATATGTGCCAAACTTGGGGATTGCCTGTAGCTCTCAAAGCCCTCTCAAGGGCAGAAGGGGCATGAGTGCTCAGCCCCCCAGACCTCCAGGGGCTTCTGCGTTGGGTCCCACCCTAGGAGCAGATCCTGTAATGTTTCATTCATCGAATCGGCAGTTTGACATTTCGTGACATTTCAATTAAACCTTTCTATAAAGACTCATTTGCACCTTTATAAAAACATTAATGAAGTAGCTGTGTTTTGCCTCCGACTAAATCCTGACTGTGGTCAATTGAACGGGTGTTCAATTACTCCCATGCAGAAACTTTTGCCACATTGAAAACATAATTCAATATTAAAAATGGCAATGTAGAAATCTGAATAGGCCAGTTGGGTTTACATTGGCACCATTTACATGGGAGTTATCCCAGTCTACACCAGCTGATCTGACCTGACACATCTATTCTTTCAAAACCATAAGACCACAAGTAATTATTTACTTAAGAAATCAGAACGTGTCTTTAATCCTTTCTGAAGTATAAATCTTAGGAAAATTATACAAACTCCAAATCATCATCTGTGATTCTCCATACCTGTGCAAAAAGTCCTACTGATTTCTCCTCTATGTGTTAAAATCAATTGTTTTGAAGCAATTTTTTGAGATGTGAGCAAAAACATATATTCAAAAATCTATCTCCAGGTTCAAAAGCAAAAGAGTTTCCTCTTGATACAGTTAAATAAGGCTGGACTACTTTAATGCAGTATTAAATGGATGAGATTAAAATCTATGTTAAAATTTCAGCTGAAGAAATTCTAACTCCCTGAAAGTTTCTAGTCAAAGCCCTTTGAAAATGAACTTATAATGGAAACCAGGGCAAACTCAACTGTAGTCAGATACTACAGCAAAAATAATTCAATTTTTCCAGGAAATAAAAATCTCTGAAGTTACCTATCAGAAGCCCAGAAGTCTGTCTGCTCAAGGAGACACCTGTGAAGTCCAGACTCCTTGCAGCACGGTGTCAGGAGGCTGCCTGCCTGCAGCACACTGCATCCCCCAAACCCACGCTACAAAGTACTCGGATGCTCCTGCTGAACCTGCAACTGCCATCCTCAGGGGGGTCACAGAACCCTGAACAAAAACCGTGGGGGTCCCCTATCATCTGGAAGGAGATGCATACTCCCACACAGGGGACACATGCCAAGGGAGCAGATATTAAATGTCTGCTCCATGTCCAACGACACATACTTCCACCTCACAGGAGCCGAGTTACAACAGCTGAAGCTCTGACTCCAGCTTTGGGGCATGTGAAAGGAGCGAGCAAACAACATATTTGCCATTTCCAAAATCATTTGCCTATGCAAGAGCAACGGCTGTATTCTTAACACTAGGCAGCTTTCATGGGGAAAATGAGTTCAAATTACATCTCAGATAAACTATCCCCTCAACCTTCTGGATGCCTTTCAATAAATTGACCCTAATATTATTACAACTTTAATTGTCTGCTTGTTCTTTCACATTTATAGTTGTTTGCATTAAAAAAATAAAATAATAATGGATAAAAGTGTTGGAGATTTTTTTTTTACCTACAGTAACCAAATGCAAATTATAAATTAATTCAGTAAATTATTTCAATTCTGCTTTGTTATTGTTTTGTTTTTAAAGAAAAAAAAAAAAGATTACCTAAGATTACCTAACCAAGACATTGAAGGTTGGCAGAAATTTCACTGGCTAGATCCCCAAAGTTATAATCCATTTATGAGATCAGTACATAAAAGTCAGTTTAAGTCTGAGAGAAAAATAAGCTCAACCGATCCCCTTACACAATTTGTTTTGAAATACCTAATTGCTCCATATAAACTGTTTTACAGAAAAAGGCTAAGAGCATGCTTACAGACATACTGAGTTAAGTGATGCTTACACATTAAAAGAAACCAGTCACTGCAAAAAGCTGCTTCTGCATGCATGGGAAGGCTTTGTAAAGTTGTCATGCTTTAAAATATGCTGCTCTTATCATCAAGGTATATATATCAAATCTATGAACAACAGAAGGATTTTTTTTTCATATCAGCAAATTATCTTTCCTGAATGACCTTAAATTTTAAGAAGATAAGTTTATTAATTTCTAATTAAACATAATTCGTTTAAAGTTTACTTACGTTAAGTTAAAAATACAGACAAATTCAGATGAGGGAGTCATCTTGTAACTGCATATCAAAATCTTTTCATCAAAATTAAGCATGAAGTTGATATGATCAGTATAGATTTTATTCCGGTTCTTAAAAATTTTATCCTGCATAGTCTTCCAAACAGTTACTCTGAAAATAACACAGCTCTCTAACCTTTTTCTTTAATGAAGGCATCACAAATTAAAAAGAAAAAAGAAAAAAGTTTGGGCCAAGAATAATGTTAAAACACCAGCGATAGTATTATACCGAGAATAAAAACATTTCTTGAATTCCTGTTACAGGTTTGATCTAAAAGCCACAAATTGATGGAAAATCTCCCACTGACTTCAGGAAGGAAGAAGTTAGACCTACAGAAGATACAGTGGTTACTTCCAAAAGAAAGAGAATGAATTTGACTAAAATAATTAGAAAAAAACAGAAGTGACCAATGTTTAAAAGACAAAATAGCAGAGCCAAAAGATACCTATAGTGTTCTCTTTACTTAAACTATGCCTATGCAAAGAATTTCAATTTCCATTATTAAAATTTTGATTTTATTTGCATTAGAAACTTTTAACAAGTTCTAGCTGATGAGAAGTATACATTTTTGGTAGCTATGGAGAAGTTACTTAACACGAAGAAAGGCCTTACTGGAGGGGTGAACAAAAATCCCTGTGTGTAGTAGCAATAGTAAGAATTAAACAGAGGTTTCTAATATACATTTTAAATTAATTCTACTTTATAAACATCACAGTGTCAAGCCTGCCTATTCAGGATAACTATCAGTATTAAAAAAATCCACACAATAGCAAGTTCTTGCATTATTTAAATGAAACTAATGCTCTGGCATTCCCAGTCACGAGTAAATAATGATTTCAGCGGCATTCCAATGTGGTTCAGAAGCTCTCGCTGTCTGACCAAGAGCAGCAAACCATACCTCCTGACCACCACAGTGCTTGCTAATCTGCCTGTCAAACCTTTGTTTGAATTCCTGTGCAAAGAATCAATCCATCCAGCAATGGCTGCTTATTTTAGGACTGACACCACTATTTTTATCCCAGCACAAAGGATACAGTTTGATCATATATATATAAGGAAGCAGCAGTGCTTTGTATGCACAGGTCATGCATGCGCACACATGTCCTCTGGGTGTGATTCATCTCGCCTAACTTTAACTAAAGTTATCTCACCTAAACTATTTAGAAGGGGAGTTCGGACAACTGATGGAAGAGAAAGACACCACCAGGAGATATCCTCTATAGGTTCTTCTCTTTCCAGAGATCTCCAGAACAGCAAACTAGACATCTAAAATTAGAGGAGATGATTTCCACCCAAACTAAATATATATATATGTATACATGTGCTTATTTGTGCACACAGTGTAAGACAGCTGCTTCCATAAATATGCCATATGCAAGACAGCAGTGACATTAATAAGAACTCTGGACAGAAAATGAACTACTAAATGGGAGACAAAAAAAAATCAGTTGTGCACATTGGTTATATATAGCTAAATCTTTAGGACAAGTTCATTTATTACTTCTACCTAAAAAGGAAGAAGAAAAACTAATGTGTGCCATGTTCAAGCTGCAGAACTTGGGAACGAACAGAGAGTTAAGGGAAAGTTATGGGTCTGTATCTTGTCTGGATCTCTAGGGTACATCTTTAAATATAAAACTTATTTCCTTATATAAATGTTTTAACATGCAAAAAGAGCATTTGGATGAGTAGTCTAAATGTTCCTGTTGTAACAAACATAGCTCTTAAATACCTTTTGGGGTATTTAAACAAGGATTCTAAGTTATATTTTCCCAAGTCAGGTGATGAAAGCCTACAGTGTTTCCCACTCCCTCCTCCCTTTAAAGGTATTTTATGTGTGTGCTGGCACGTGCACATGGGTATATATATATATATATCTTTTTTAACTACATATATATTCTCTATAAATTAAAAAAGATACCATGGTAATCAAATCCAGAAGAGAAAAACAAAACAAATATATATGAAGAGAAAAACAAACCTTGTTTTTAGCATAATCCAAAGTAACATCAAGATTGCAAAGATAGGAGATATATATATATATTTAAGTTTATGATTGATTCAGATCAGGCTCCGCAATATTCCCATTCTCTGGAAACATAGCTGGAAAATTGTTATTAAAAGTCGCTGGAAACTCTAACATAGCATCAACATTTTGATAGCCCATGTAATAATTAAACGACTGCTGTGGAAGTACTTGGCTATCAGGCATCTGTATGAATGCCCCTGACTGTGTGGTAGGGGGGACTCTTTGGCCAACTAGTTGCATTTTAGGTTCTCTGGGCTCCAGTTGTTGCTTGCTTTCTTCATCTGTGTCAAGACGGGTTAGCTTTTCTATCCACATGCGAAATTTCTCCTCTGTCTGCCTCTGCATCTCGGCAAAGCAGTTCATGGCCTCTTCCAGGACATTGCCTATGCAGTTCCTATCCCATACGGTGCCCCTGTCAAGCAATCCTGGAATTTCCCTGGTCGCTCCTCCAGATCCCCCAGCACGACTGAAGCCAGCTTTAAAGACATTGAGGCCATTTGATAAGACATCATTAAGTAAGAACATAATATTGTTTATTAAGGCATGTTAACTCAGGAAAATAAACTTTTCTAATTGTGTCCCTTGGATATGACATCGGGGAGGAATTAGCAAATATTGAATCAACCAACAGTATTAATGTTAAAATAAGCAATATTTTACACTCACTGAAGTTATCATAAATTTTGGCTTCAAAATTATTTTTATTCTAGAATTCTCAGACAACTCTGTCACAAAGGTCTCATTTGTTTTATAAATCAAATTAGCCCAATTCCCTTGCAATTTCAGTTTTGAATTCAACTGAAGGAATCTGAAACATCATACAACAAGAGGCTTACTTCTCTTAAGCTGTGGTCCAAGATGCCACTGTTTAAATGATAAAACTGAATAATTATATTCATTTTACTTAGCTACTCGAACCCTTTTATAATAAACATAATCGTACACAAATAACAGAGAAAACGGCTGAAGCAGTCACTACAGATTCTAAAGCAGCCAAGCCCAGATCTTACCGCTCTTGGTTTAACTTTGGAAAAATCACTGTGCACCAACGAAGAGAATACACGCATGACACAAACACATAGACACGAGCACAAAAAGATACACGGACACTGTGCTAATACATGGGGTGAAAGCAGCTTTTGTTAGGTCTGATAGCAAAACCCAGCTCCATCAGAGGAATAACCCACAGATCAGGTCAGCGTGACAATGCTTATGCCAGCAGCACACATCGCAGACTGCAAGCGTGCCCTTAACCTCCAGAGCCAGCGGCTGGCCATGTGGCATTTCTCACGTTACTCCTTCTAGCCAGTGCTAAAAACAGGCTGGGCATAGCTGGAAGGAGATTTTTCTCCTTCCATCCATCCATCAAAATGATGATTAACGTGACTTTGGGATTTTCAGGAAGAACTTTATCGGCAAGAAGACAAGGCCATGTATCTTACTCTGCTTGTTAACAAGAGAAGGCAGTGGTATCTGTATTTTTAAGTTTAAAGTTCTCTTGGGAATCCTCTAGGAAGCATCAGAACTCCTAGAAGGTCAGGCTTTGCACCTGTTTGAGAAGTAATAACCAACGTGTGCATGCTGTCCTAACACAGGAACATCACCTAAGGTAACTCCACGAGACAAGCATCACAAACTACACAAAGCAGCTATATAAACTGACAATTTAGTATGTAAACACGAAACTTGTGGGATTCTCTAGCTTAAGAATAACAGAAAATATCTTAAGAATGAGAGAAATCATTGCACAACCTAAGCCTACTTACTAATAAAAGCGTAAGGCACTAACTCTTTAATTGGATTCCACTGAGCATACAAAATTACAGTATAACTTAATACATTCTTTTTAGGAGCTATTTAAATGAGGTATACCTAAGACCTTCAGTAACAGCTAAACAAAGCCTGGGATTACTCTCTTCTTACTTTCAAGCAGTAGCAATGCTACCAGTTGAGGGAAAAGACTTTCTATTAAAAACCCTACTTTTGAAGTCTTCTCTATCAGACAGTCTGGAAATTCATCATTCAGGTCCACTGCCCAAAAATAAATCACTTTATAGTAACTACCTTCCATCTCTTTGATGGTATTTAACTAAAAATAATTAAGTAAAATGGTACCTTTTTCCTAAAAAGCGGTTCCTTTTGAATATTCAATGTATTTTTCCCCCCTGAAAAAAAGTATTATTTCTGTTCACATACTCCTAGTGTTGAATACCCAACATGGTTCTATTTACTCTTCTTTAGTCAGGGATCTTATCCCAAGATGAAAGGACTAAACAGCAATCTGACTTCCACAAATTTAAGAATTTTAAAGTTTTAACTGCAATTTAAATAAAAAACACTACTGACAGTGATATGTGAGATACAATATAACCAGGCTTTTAAAGTTAAGAACAAATTAGCACAGTCAAAGCTGACAAAACTGTTTTGTAAACTAAAGAGACTATGTACTGAAATATACATTACCCTGCAATGTCATTTAAAAAAAGGCATCGTTCATAGTATATCTACAATTTACAGTAGCAGCAAATCAATCTGCTTCAAAGGCTTCCCTTGCAGTTCTACTACTTATAACATGTCTTACTCAATTGTCACTTACTGGTGGTTTTTGGTGTTTAAAAAAATAAGTCTAAAAATGCATTTCTATTATATTAAAAGCTAGCATTTATCAAATTGGTCCCCTTGCTAACTGAAAGCTTGCAGCTCTACAGTTTTAGAAGTTACACCAAGACAGCATCACCTGCAGAACAGCACCTATGAAATCCCCGTTGCATCCTTATGGTATCTGTTAAGTACTACCCAAATAATGACCACATCCAAAGTCATTTAATTTAGGAAACCAAACACCATAACAGTTAAGAAGACATGCTGCATCTTCACTGTAATCAGCATCGGTGGATGACACCTAGGCATTATGCCACCCTGCCCTTCCAAAGAGAGAGCTGACTGCAAATCACTCAGAATTTTCCCTATTCTAAAATTTGGCATTCTGTGTTCCTCCAACAAAATTCACCCCTTGCAAGATGCTTCAGCCAAGGTCTGTGCAATAACCTCAGGAGGAAGTAAACTGGCTCAGAGTCCCTCACACGCATCATGCTCCTCTCTTCAGATTTCTGTGTATTAAAAATCCTTTTTTTCTTTTTTAAACAAATGGGCTGCAACATCCTTTTCAAGATCAGTACTTCAAACTTAACAGACTTTTGAAAGCCTAAAACATGAGTCATCCCTATTTCAATTCAGACCTCTTCTTGAGTTGTAGAAAGCACAATGGCAGTGAAAGGACTTTTTAATATTATATTTGTATTTTTAAAAACCCTTTCCTTCCAAAGAAAAGTGTTTACAAAGAAATAAATACTGATTTCCAGACTTGTCCTCATGCCAATATCATTTAGAGTTATCTTGCATGATCACATCTGAAAGCATTTAAAGGGAAATCTTTCAATACCAGCAAGTCTAGCAGAACCTATTTCAGGACTCAAAGATCATCCTCTTATGCCCAAAGCGAATGCTATCTATTTTTTTGTTACAGCATGGTAAAACCCTACTGCCAACAGAGAGGCTCAATCATTATGATATAAGAAATTATTCCTCACCTGCAGTAATTCAAAAATCATGGCATTAAATGAAATAAAGAGCCCAAACTGCTTGAGTCAGTGAGAAAATTCTCAGTAGCATCCACGAGGTTTAGGCTGATCCTGTATTTTCATGTTTCCAGCAATTCTTCGTTACCCTGTATTATCTTCTAACTATTTGTTCCTTCACTAAATTTTGAGGATGCTTAGAGTATATCGCTAAGCACACAAAAAACAGATTTCTGTTCAGGAAAACAACCTAAGCTAAGCACTTTGCCCATCCCAACAAGAGGGCCCACGAACCTGTCATTGGAGGGGAGCGCTGGGAGCCCCCGGACTTGCAGTTCCCCAGTACCTGTGAAGCCCGCAACAAGCACAGGGAGCGTTTTTGGCTGCCTTTGTCCCATCTCTGCAGGGGATGGCTTTCCCTTGGACTAGCAGACTGTTTCCCACAAACCAACATTGTTTCTGTTCAAAGGAAAACCGCAATCTGGCAGGTACACATTGTGCCTAATTACAGAAGGACTGCTCAAATGTTTTGATGCCTTAAATATAATTCAATGCCAGGTGGGTGATAGGAGCTACCAAATCAAAAATAAAGGTCACTGTTCTCCAGGATGGGTTTTGCACTCCCACATCTTGCAACCCAGGTAAAATCAGCCATTGGTTTAATAATCATTAAATCTACAGGTTCTTCCATCCACTACAATGGGACCTTTTCAATGCATACCTCTCATGGCGAGACCTGGAGCTCAAATACTGAGGAGACAATTCACACAGAAAAGTATCCTGGAGTGCCTTCAGATCTCAGCACTGCAAGTCAGAAATCTAAGCAGATCTGAAAATACCAGGTAGTACCTTTCTGGGTCACAAGGTACATTATAACTTCATTAAAAAATGAAAACAATATACCCTGGGGGATTTTGTACTGGGGGTGAGTGGGTTGTTTTGGGAGTAGAGGGGCTGAGCTGTCCAAAACTCAATGAAAGAAAGTTTTCTTCCACAGGCTTTATATTAGGTCTTAATTGCCCAGCAAAGTGTAAATATAGTAAATAAAAATTCACAGAACTATGAAAGCTAGAGGTCTGGTAAAAATAATTTTAGAGTCTCTATTAAAATTTTACTGCACAATAATATAGGATTATGCCTTTCCCAGACTTTCCAATAAACATTAACTTCCTTCGTGCAACCTGCTTCCTAGCAATATGTGGGAAAAGTGCCAGTTCTCCTGGTGGCAGAACCACTCACCATCATCAAGCCAGTTAGAACAGTGATCGTTATTTGTAAAAACTGATGCAAATATATTAAATAACTATATTCTAGCAAACATTAATTCAGAAACTTAAGATTAATTATTGCAATTTTCCTTTCAATCTTCTTGCCTTACATAAGCTTATCTCAAAAAAAAACTTCTAGCACAGAAGGCAAAAAGACATGTAACCCAGTAAAAATTGGCAGGCAAAAAAGTTTATTTTTATGTGATTTTTTTTTGATTGCCATATGATGGTGGTTCTATGGTATAATATTCTGTAAGAGTAGTTCACACAAAATCCTGTCCATGGCACTTGGGCTAATAAAACAACAAAGATTCAGCAGACAATAAACTCAAAGAATTCATCTTTCTTTCTCTAATAAAGATGCTGCCTTCCATCTTTTAACATGAATGTGTGAGAAAATTAAAAAATATAGAAATTATGGATCCTTACAACATAGGAAAACAGTAACAGCTTTGTCTAAAACACTGAAAATTTAGATTTGGAAACAGCTTGAGCACCTGTGTAAACAAATTCATAATTCTGTCCCAAAATAGGTGACCAGCAGCAATCTGCAAGAATTTACAATAAGGCTAAGTAGGTTTGCATGCACTGAAACTGAGAGCTGAAAGCACAGTGTAAGTGCAATAGTGAACAGGGCCTTACTATAACACAGGCAAGAGGTATGCCATGTTACTTCAAACACAGCTGCAGAGCTGTGGTCTTAATATATTAAAGCAAAGCTGGCCACTTATCTTAAGAATGTATTTATTAGATTATCACAATCTAATGGGATTTAACAGCACTGACAGGAATTCATATAAGCTTACAAAGGAAGAGACCTGAAAATTCCAGAATTCAAAAATAGTCTTTCCTCCAATTTACCATTTCTATGCTTTGTTGGTGTGCAAAAGTGCACTGAAACCTCAGAACAGATTTTACAATTTGCCCATATCTTGTTAATATACTGCAGTCTTCAAATTTACAGAGCTGCAGTTCTCCTGTTTTTTCTCAAGTGTCACTCATCTAATTTAGCATGACAGCTGAGAAACAATGTCAGATGCGTTACAGTTCAGTTTAAAAAACATCCTCTACCTGGTATCTCTGCAGTGATTGTCTTGCTGCTCCCTGAAACCTCTTCATCATCATCTGATGAACTCGTGCTCGAGTCACACGTCAGGTCACTATCACTGGTACTGCTGTCCTGCAGCAGGTTGTACTTCTTGCGAGCAGCTGCCTCCCGCTTCTGTCTTAACAGCCGGATTCTTTCTTTGTGCTTTTGGCTTCGATGACCTTTTACCTTAGTAACTCGACCATTCTGCTTATCGCTAGACTGTCGGTTTTTCTTGGCAGCCATTGTTGAAGTTTCACTTTCGGACCTGGATCGCCTGGATTTCCTCCCAACTGCAGCCCCAGACACACCCGAAGGGTCTCCCTCAACAGCAGCTTCAGCTTGACAGGGCTCATTCTCTTCTGTGGAAGACAATGTGTCTGAGTCAGCCAAATGCCCACTGGAAGAAGGGGAAAGCATGCAGTGGTTAGAAGAGTCACTCTCATAAACTCGACCACCCGTTGGCTTATCACTCTCCGTGGATGCCAGCTGAGACTCCAAGGAGTCTCGCCTCAGTTCCATCAATAAGCAAGGCATTGAAGAGAGCACTGCAGAGTCTGACACAGCAGGCACACTGTCCTTCTGAGGATGTGGCTCCAGTTCTATAGGTCTGTCTTCATCGGGAGTGGTCTGCTTCTCAGAAGTCTTCAGAGGAACTTCTGAATTGAGAAGTTCTTCTGCTTTTCCCACTACCTCCATCTTCATTTCAGAACACCAAGGTTCTCCTGGTATCAAAGCATGGAGCACATGGTCTGGAAGATCAGATATGGTCAACTAGATATGGTTTTCAGCAACACAGCAGCCTGCACAAAAACAGAATAGTAAGAATCATTTACCCAAATAACTCAATCAATTTGTTGCTTTCAATCACAGAGGCCATTGCTCAGTACCATATTGTTTTTTTCATTTACTTTTTCCACGTGAACTCATCCTGTTACACCAATCTACTCTTCCTTTTACATGCTTATGAAAAACAGCACTGGAATCACAGGGAACATTTCTCATCTCACTAGATCAAAACGGATCAGAAAACAAAAAATATTTATGAACTTTTCCTTTATAAAGATTTAAACCAGTGCATTATAAGCAACATATGCTAAACTTCTTTACCTAGACCTTTAAACATTTTAATGAAGAACTTTAGCACTTATAAACATAGCCAGAGTGAAAACTCCCAGACTTGTAGCCATCTGCCTGGACAGCCCAGAACATTGTTCAGTTTCCATATTTATGAGAAATCTCTTTGCAGTTGATCAGGGCTCCAAACTTTATAATCTAATGTTTTTATGATAATTTACAAACTTACAGTACCAACATGAGCCATGCATAAAGACGTATCAGTAGCATCTAAAACACCATTCAGTGCTCCTTGAAAGGCTCCCGTACAAGTCCTGGTTGTATGAGAACCTACAGGCTGACATAGTTTCTCTTAAATCTGCCAGGAAAACAGCATCAAATAGTATGGGCTGCAAGCAACAAACAGCATCCACCCACACCGCTATTTTACTTTAAATTATAATTTAATAAATTGCATTGCTTCAGCACAAGTACAAAAAAAAAAAATACAAAAAAAAACCAACAAGCTATTTTTCTGATTAATAACTTGCACTTTATCAACTAAGCAGTACTTAAATCACCTTCAGAGATTTTATAAAAAAAAAAAATACCAGTACAACATTTATCATTTTATCTTAATTTTTCACACTCTGCCTTCAACCCAAGTTTTCATTTGGAACTCAATGCAAGAAAAAAAGTGAAGGAAGTTCTTAGTCACTACATTCACTCATAGATTAATTGTACGGAACAAATGGTTCATGGGTTTAGAAGTACAGAAAACAACAAATTTATGGCAGTTCAAAAAAAGCATAGACACGTAAGGAAAAGCAATATTAAGCTTTACTATTTTAAAACAATACTTTTGCAGACAAGGGCAAATAGGACTTGATCAGCCTAAGAGAGCATGGCTGGTACAGAGAGATTTTTCTATGCTCTGACAATCCTTCGTGTTTCACCATCTATCCCAAGCTGCCTGTAAGTGAATGCTGCTACCTGTAGTACAGAGTAAGGCTTCCCTGGTTCAGGAAGATGCTGTGAGAAGCTCAGGGTTGTGCTGTCTGCCCTAACCCACTCTGAAACTTCACTTTCAAAATATTAAAATAGAGGCCGTGTCTCCTTCAGGCAAATGAATGAAATGCTGGATGATGCAAGGGATTTGTGAAAATAAATATGGGAAACACCAGTTAAGGAAAGAAAACTTAGTTAATAACAGACAACATAAGAAAGGCACGGGTGACAACTCTAGGTATACTAAATACGAAAAAGGAAACAAAAAAGAATAGAGTAAGTTTAAAATAAAGGAAAAAATCTATCTATAGAAAAATGTTTCCAATATTTGCACTAAGAAAAATTCTCTTGAAACCAACTTAAAAGAAGAACTTCTGGAGATGGTAATTTAATGTATGCAATAAATATCACGTAAGAAACCATTTATTTACTAGGCCACAGCACAGTATCAACAAACCCACAAGACAAATACACCTTTGAGACAATGGCATCCCAATGCTGTAATAAAATCATTATTTCTACATATTTCATCAGCAAATGTACATTACCAAATAATTTTCCTAGGAAACATGAAAGTGAAACAGAGATTTGATGAATATATAACTCTTGGCAAGCCATTCACAGTGGGGTTTGTACTATATCTGTTAGAGCAACTCCCAGCTTTTTCTGTGGTACTACACTTAGAACAGAAAAATACCCTTCCAAGTGTCCTGGTTTCAGTTAGAACAGAGTTAATTTTCTTCCTAGTAGCTGGTAGAATGCTATGTTTTGGTTTAGGATGAGAAGAGTGCTGATAACACCCCGATGATTTAATTGTTGCAGAGCAGTGCTTATACTAACACAAGGACATCTCAGCTTCTTACTCTGTCCTGCCAACAGGCAGGCTGGGGGTGCAGTAAGAGCTGGGAGGGGACAGACCCAGGACAGGTGACCCAAACTGGCCAAAGGGGTATTCCATACCATCTGACGTCATGCTGAACAATATCTAGGGGTGGCTAGCCAGGGGAGGGGGCCGGACTACTCGGGGTTAGGCTGGGCATCGGTCAGTGGGTGGTGAGCAATTGCATTGTGCATCACTTGTTTGTACACATTATTATTAGTAGTACTATTATCATCATTGAACTAATATTTTTATTGTTATTATTATTTTCCTGTCTTAATAAACTGCCTTTATCTCAACTCACGGGCTTTACTTTCCATTTCTCTCCCCCGTCCCAAAGAGGGAGGCGGGAGGGTGAGCGAACGGCTGTGTGGTGTTTAGCTGCTGGCCGGGTTAAACCATGACAGCACTTTTGGTGCCCAACGTGGGGCCTGAAAGGTTGAGATAACAGCAGATCTGACCAGAGTGTGTTAAACTAAAATTGGTATTAGACCTGCTTAATAGTTACTTGTCATAATGCTGATTGCTTTAATCTCAAGTCTGCTGCACCTGTTTTCCAAATTGAGTATTATAGCACATTATTTTCCGTATGTGCTCTCTGTCATGTTGTTTATCCTCTCCGGGCCCTGGTTTCAGATCATTATGGTACTGTGTGTTGTAGCAATGGCTTATGAGACGATGAGATATCTGGTCATGACTCTAATTTGGTATTTGTACTCAGTAACATCGACGACTCTATACTTTAGAAACCATATCTCAGAAACTATTAGCAATTATACCTGTTGCCTTTTTCCATTAGGGAGTCAATCTGTGGAGGGGAAGGGGGAAGATATTTTTTCTTACTCGTTCACTCTCCCTTTCTCCTTCACCACCCCTTTATCCTCCTTGATCACTCTCCCTTTCTCCTTCACAACCCTCTTATCCTCCGAGCTTGTTACAATAGTTCTCCAAGATACCGAATATCCTTGGGATACTCAGACCAGCGTGTTCTTGTTGTTCTACCTCCTGAATGTGCTTCAGGTTTTGCTTAAAGTTAAACAACTACTTAGGAATCTCATCCAGAGATCTGCCCGGAGGCAGGATAGTTGTGGGTGCCAGGGATTATGGGAGGATATGGGCAGGCATCTAGAGCAGTTGGCACCCCCAGTGTTTTGGAAATTCACCCCTGAACAACTGCAAAATCCTCAAAAACTGGCAGAATGCTTGAAAAAAAGGTGTCATGACTCTGGCAATTCCAAAGTGACACAAATCATTGTAACGTGCTGGGGCCTGGCTCATGCCTATCGAGCTGCAATTGATACTGCTATGAACTTAGTGACAGACCCTGAGGCCACTCCAATTCCTGTGACAGATCCAACGGCCACTGTGACCCCTACGGAGGACTCTGCAGCCCCTCCAGTTCCAGCTCCTGCAGCTGCTTCAGCTCCTGCAGCCGCTCCAGCTCCTGTGGCTGGGCCAGGGAAACGAGCTGTAGCATTGCAAGTTGATCCTGCAGAGGGTATTCCAACCCCTGTGGCAGACCCTGCAGCTGGGTCAGAGAAACAAGCTGTAGCAGTGCGAGTTGCCCATGTAGAGAATGTGAAAAAATTGTATAGGGATTCAAGTCGTTTAGAACGCAGAGAGTCTTCTGCCAAATCTAGGTATAGAGACGACGATGCTGGGCCATCAGGGATTCAGGAGGAGGAAGATGAGGATGCCGAAAAATCAACAGTAACTACCCGAAACCTATACGAGTGTGAGCTACGAGATGTGCGAAAAGATTTTGGTCATTGCATAGGTGAGCAGCTTGTCACCTGGCTGCTCCGGTGCTGGGACACTGGAGCCAATTGTGTGGAATTAGAGGGCAGGGAAGCCAGACAGCTGGGATCTCTTGCTAGGGACGCAGGCATTGACAAAGCAATTGCAGATGGAGCACAATCTCACAGCCTCTGGAGGCATCTCCTCTCAGCTGTGAGGGAAAGGTATCCCTTCAAGGAAGAACTTGTATGTCTACCAGGCAAGTGGACCACTATGGAGAAGGGAATCCAGTACCTGAGGGAATTGGCAGTACGGGAAGTGATTTATGACGACCCAGACAACGGACAAACATCCAGAGATCCAGATGAAGTCAGGTGTACACGACCCATGTGGCAGAAGTTTGTACAAAGTGCACCATCATCATATGCCAGCTCATTGGCAATAATGGCCTGGAAGGATGATGAGGAACCCACAGTGGATGAAGTAGCTAAACAACTCCGGCAGTACGAAGAAAGTCTCTCCTCTTCCTTACAGGCCTGCGTCTCAGCTGTGGAGAAACTTTCTGAAGAGTTCCACCAACTTAAAGAGAATCTATCTTCCTCCCCACCTGAACCAACCAGTGTCCACCGACCAAAAGAGAACACTTGGGAGAAACTTTCTGAAAAGGTTCACCAACTTGAAGAGAGTTTATTTTCCTCCCCACCTGTACAAAGCAGTGTCTCAGCTATCAGGGGTAGGCGTTCATCCACAGAAGGAAGACGATATGGTGGGTATTCACCCCGTGCCACCCTGTGGTTTTACTTACAAGACCATGGAGAGGACATGAGAAAATGGGATGGAAAATCTACCGCGACCCTAGAGGCACAGGTACGTGAGTTGGAAAAGAAAACAATCGGGGAAAAAGGGATTCTCTGAAAAGTTTGCTGCTCCAACTTCCAGCAGACAGTCCTTCAAACACAGAAACGAAGAAGATTCTGACCAGGATTAGGGGGGCCCTGCCTCCAGCCAGGGGGAGGAAAGGGACAATCGAGTTTATTGGACTGTGTGGATTCGATGGCCTGGCACGTCAGATGCACAGAAGTATAAGGCTTTAGTAGACACCGGTGCACAATGTGCTGTAAT